CCCCCGGGGTCTGGGCTGGCTGGTACCCCCACAGCCAAAGCTGCTGCTCCGGGGCTCGCCCCTGGGCTGGACACGTGCCTCCGGCAAGGAGCAGCCACGTGCCAGTCCCCGTGGGAGTGCACACTTCACACGTGGGGCCATGAGGGCTGTGCCCTGCCTTTACCAGCACACCCAGCCCTTCCTGCTGCCCCCACAGTCCCGGCACAGCACGGCGCGTTGCGGGGCTGACGGCAAATTAGCACAAGGCCCTGCCCTGTGGGTTTCTGTGCATCCTACCGACCAAAGAGCAGGGATGGACAGTCCAACACCCCTCCACCGGGCTGGTTAAAGGCTGTGTTTCCCCCGCTCCAACCTCGGTGGACACCAAAAGCCTTTTCTCCTGCCCTTTCCCTGCCTGTGCTCAGATGCAGAGCAAGTGTGAGAGAGGCTGGACCCCCAGAGAGCACTGCACAATGGCAGACACATGCCTCAGTGCTGCTCCTGCGGGCTGCCAGCCCCTGGGCTGAGCAAGCTGGTGCACTAGTTAGTTCACAGGCCAGGGCAGCTATTCCCCACGGGCTGCCTCGCACCAGGCAGAGGATGCACAGTTGGGCTGCTGGCCCAGCCCCAGCTTGCAGGACATGCTGGCCGGGTCGCCGGAGCACGGCAGAGCTGGATGCAGGCTGCGGCACTGGGCTGGGCTCGGCTTCATGCTGCTGCACGCATGCTGCTCAGATGTGTGTCTAAGAGCCACACCACAGCACCGGGGCACGGCAGGGACTGGCGCTTGCTGTTCAGGATGCTCCTGACCTCTGCCCGCTACTGCTGCTGCATCGCTGGAGCAAAGTTTCCTGCATCTTCCATCAAACAGGAGGCGTTTCAGCACGGCACGTTCAACCTGCACAAGTGTGTGTAGGGGGGGGGAAAGCAAAACACAGTGGGCTGGTAGGTGCCCAGGCTCAGCTTGGGTGGTCTCCCATCCCTTCTGGCCTTAAACTTGTGGGTCCTGTAAAGGGCAGCAAGGAAAGGGACAGGCAGTGAAATGTGCCCTGTTCGCGCAGGAGAGGAGTGCTGCACCAGCCAAGGGCAGCACACAGGGTTTTCTGCTCCTGTGTGCGGCGGGGACTCATTAGCTCAGGGCTGGCTGTGCCTACTTTATTCTCTGGAAGCTTTTGTTCCCTTACAGAAATGTAGTCTCTCTCTCCCTCGCCCTTAGCCCCTTTTAATATTAAGGTCAATAGGTTGACCATTAAGCAGGAAAAGGGCATGAAGAATCAACCAAATTAAATCTTGTGTGCAAACAGGTGGGTGTGAAATTTCAATCAATGGCTGGTGTTAGCAGGGACCCCTGGGATCCCGATTTCCCAGGGGAAGACTGGGCAGCCCCAGGGGGATTTGGGTACAAAAACTCCAGACATGGGAGAATAGAAAAAAGTCTTCTCAAAAACCAATATTGACAAGGTCCCTGTGTTTGCACCCCGGCTTTCCCCGGCAGCACAAAGGGAGATGATTATCCCGGGTCTGGTGGGGAGGGGATGACGGGAGCTCAAAGGTGAGCTAGGCCCCCCCCGGCTCCCCCGCCCCCCGCCTCT